TTTAGGTGCGCTTTGGGCACCGGGAGGCGCCTGACTGCCGATCCCTGGCCGCGCCGATCCCGCTGCTTCCCCTCAAAACTTAAGAGACCCTGTTCGAAGGAGGCGCGCGGTGAGCCCCGCCGCCTGAGCTGCTCGCCTCCCTCGCCTTGAGCCTCGGTGAGCTGATGCGCGTTGCCGCTCTCCTTAGTAGGGGCCAAGGTGGCTGCTTAAAACGGGGAGGGCTGGCCTCCAGAGGCTGGCCCGTCCCCGGCTGAGTCGGTTGCAGAGCCCAGCGGCGGCGCTCCTGGGAAGCGCAGCTCTCCTCGGTCCCTCTGCTGGGGCACCGATCCCCAAAACGCCGATATCCTCTGAGGTGGGGCCGCTCACATTCGGTAGCTTCTCCAAAATGCTGATGCCCGTCTTGCAGTCCCCCCGTCTGGCAGGGATAACCCCGCTTGTTTGGCACCGTAGTTGCAGGCGGGGAGAGGTTACACGCTGCCAGCCCCGCGCGGGCCTCGGGCGTTCCCTCTGCCTCCGTGCAGGAAAGGGGGAAATCAGAACCGCGCTCTGGCTTGATGGCTGCGAGAGCTACGATGTGAGTGTTAAAAAATAGACCTGTTAATGCTCGATAATCGACTTCGTGCCGACACGTGTGCAAAAAAAAGAGGATCTTCAGGCCCTTTTGTTCTCCTGTCAGGGTAGAGTGGCATTTAGGCCACTGAGGGCCTAAGGTTTTATGTAAAAGGATTTTTTTTTTCATTTGAAGACTTAAAAAGTGCTTTAACATTCTATTAACAGCTTGTTTTACAGTTATTATAAATATGGAGGAGAGGGGATGCAAAGTGTTAGAGCTTCCAACAGATCCTGAGTATTACTTGCCCAAGTAATTTTTTAGGGAAAGTTTGCGTCTTTCCAGAACCTTCTAGAAATCCTTGCAGAACAAAGAATTAAATCCAGTGTAGCTGCCAGAGACTTTAAGAAGTCATTCGCTCAGTCTTCTTTTCCCCAACTGTATGTTTCCTACTCTCGGTAGACATTTAATTACCTTTGCTAAAAAATCTCCATAGGCATTCTGTGCTGTTATTCCCATTAAGAAAGATTTTACTGCTGTTTAACTGTGATCTTGAAACTTAAGCGCATTAATAATTGTCCTGTATTTGTGCTAAGTATTTTGTGGTGTGCTGGTATGTAAGGCAGACCTCAGTAACGTCATTGTCATTCATTCACAGAAATGTGTAACTCCTCATTTGCCATGTGGAGCAAGGATTCACCTTCAGAACACATAACTTTCTTCCAGCAGTTCACCTGGTCTTCTCTAGCGTCATACAAGATGCAAGCTTGGGACAATGCAGAGAGGTTTGTGCTGGCTTGCATTAAAAGTTTCCCTCTGTAAAAGATGGTTTTATCAAAGGGGAGCGAGCATATAGTTAGTTCCAATTAGTACTACAGGATCGTAAGGCGCTTAAACATTCTACTCTTACAAGCAAATTAGCAGAGACAAAGACAAGTCTTTCAGTCATCTGTGATTCCAGATTTGTTTTGTAGAATCTGTCCCCATATTTTCTATCAACTTTAATCAGAAATTGACACATTCCCACTAATACTAGTATTGCCTTTCCTGACCTTTTCTAAACACCTAACAAGTGGAGACTTACTTTTTATGTAAAAGCTGTAGGGTATGTTTCCAGTTAAGTTATGATTTCTGACTTTAAAAAAAGAAGTGCAGTTCATTGACCTTTAGTTCAACTCAACAGATTACTTAATCTCTAGTTGTAGGATTTAGGTGAAAAGCAAACGGCAAAAGGGAAAGGTGTCTTCCACATCTCAGAATTTTAAACAAAAATGCATCTGTTTGGGGTGATTAGAATTACAGTCAGCTGGGCTGCAGGTGTGAAGAAAGTGGGTAATTACTACATATAAAATGTGTTTCTACTCTTAATCATGAAGAACAATACGGACATACTATGCCATATGTCAAGACCATAAAATAGGAAAGTAATTCTGTGGCTTTTTCAACTTTATAAAGGTACTTACTAACCAGTGTTTAATCCTAGACTGAGCATTATTGCCTTCATGGAATCCTTTGAAAATGCCTGCAGACAGAACAAAATAACGGAGTGTGCCAGATGCCATGTCTCTTAACTTTCCAAAGCTTTTCCTTTTTAAGAAGTACTTTATCATAAAGTTGACAAGATATTTCATTCCCTGTGAAATTTCAACTTTCATTTTAATATTCATCGTTTTGCACTAAGATTTCAATAGCTGTTTGCAGAGGCCTACACAATTTCATTTATGCAGTGTTTTTCTGATGAACTTACTCCTCCTTGACATGTTAAAATATTTAATTACTAGTAAATTAAGAACTTGCAGTAAAAAAACGCACAGGCATAACTTCTGGCTTTTAAGTATTACAGTTCAGATTTCCTTTAACTACTTAACGGCTCTTCCAGTTTTTTAAGATCTTTGTTCTTTTCACATACATGGAAGAAAATAATCATGTGATTCCTCCTTCTGTCCAATGTTTTAAACTCATAGTCAGTTCTAAATATTGGTCTTTTTTCCACTGTCATACGACTTGAGCCAGTCAAGCTCATTTAGAATGACTGCTCTCACTGCAGTATCTTGATCACAGTCCTTTCAAATTTCTGCCATTCAGGATCCCGTAACTTAATCCATGTACCTAAGGAGATCTCAACAGCTAAAAATAGAGCTAAACAGGCAGTAATGTAAGCTGCTGCATTAAATTAATTCTTTCTTAAGGATCATCTAAATTCTGTTTGACTAACCATTAGCTTAATCTTTTTGTTTAGGTTAAGAGTTCCCAGTGTGTGATACAAAAATTCCTGCTTCATAGTAAACTACAGAGTCACTTAGCCAACTTTTAGCCCTTTGTGGAGAGGCAGTGGAGGGCATCTGTTCCTGGCTGCTGTGAGTGTGTGCTTACAAACAGAGAAAACAAACAACACTGGGTACTTTTCATTTGTTCTAAAGTTCATGCAGTTTGGTAACACTCACTGTTTGTGAAGGAGAAGGCCTTAACTGGCTGGACTTAGCAGTATGCATTGCAGATTGGGGTTGAGGTACATTTGTAGGTTCCAAGATTTCGGGACCACAAGGAGATTTTCATAGGCTTCTTCTGAACACAGAGAGCACGATAAGGAACCTAGACTTGTTAACACCATGTGAGAGAAAGGTGGGGCTTGCTTTTTGCTGTGCATGACTGTGGCCCAGCAAAGAAGCAGGAACCCGTGTGATTGCTGGTGTAGTGTTGTCATTGCTAATGATGGTGCCAAAAAGCATGCCCAGTCTGAGAATCCCTGTAATACACAGTCCTCATACATCACACATTAAGCAGTTGACAGAATGCCATTACTTTAAATAAAAAAGCAAAACCAGGCTTCAGTTCTTTATGCCATCCGACCCACATACAGATGTTCTACTTTCTTTCTATAGTCCTGAAGTTGTTGGTTGAGCTGACTTCTCAGCAGTTTGTTGTTCTCAATTTTTCTTCAGAAGAACTCCCTATAAGGGGGAGTACTCTTACATGAGGGAGAGATGTGAAAAAGAGCTGTGCTCAGGCTGATCCCTTCCAAACTAATGGACAACAATGAGCTTTTAAAAGCTCAGGGAAATCAGAGTTGTGCAAAAAAAGCAGAAAGGGGACATGTAGATCTTCCCTGCTGCCATGCCTCAATTGCATCAAAATCTATTTTAGTACAACCAAGGAATTAGCCCATTAAATTGTGTAATGAAAAAATTATGAGTCTTGACAAGTGAAAGGACTGAAAAGGCCACATGCATGAGAACCATGTGATGAGGTACAGAAACACAGGCACTGTGGCAAAATGTTAGAATTCTTGACTTTGATATATTAGTAAGTGATCTGGTGAGAGGATTTTGTTTGTTTTAAGCATTTAGTCATAGACCTGCTTCAACCAATGGCAAACACTTTGTCATTTATCCAGGAGGGTGAAAAGAAGTTACATATTTTTTCATTTAAAATGACAGGTAAAAATGACAAAGCTCGAAGTTTAGCAAAAAGAATAATGGATAAAAAGATTTCTGCAAAAATTTTAAAAGGTATTTGAAAAGGTTTTCTGCCCCATAATCACTTTC